TAAGAATGAGTAATGCTCACAAATTATTGTTCACCTCTTCCCAGAACTCAACCTTCTCTTTAACACTGTATCATCAGTTCATCACGATACCAGAAAACTAAAGTAATACATGTGTTGAACAAATGGGCAAGAAAGAAAAAAAAAAACACCAAAAGAATGATTGCTATTTTTGTAAAGAACTATAGAACAGTGTACATGTACACTTTGGTCATTCTCAAAGATACATATACTGTACATGAAGGCCTTACACCTACTATAAATTCTAATATTTTTGTGTGATAAATTTTTCACGCTGAGCGACCCCAAAACTTATTTGCGGTCTTGCGGATTCTTAAATTCACATTGCACGCAGTTCTACCCGTTCAAAACATGCATGAAGTCATGCTTATAATTTTGTGGGTTCTAAATAGGATTCGCGCTTGCCTATTTTAGCCCGAAATATAATGTTCTTGCAAATATTTCTGCATTTACAGTATTTGTAAGTTCATGTTTTCACATAAAAAACAATTCATGTATACAAAGTTGATACTGATTGTATACTGTAACCAAATTATGAGCACCCTCTATTTGAGTACCATGATCAAACTTTGTACAATACTGTACGTCCATAAACTACTACACGTGTACAGTGTATACTTGTAAGACCACACATACATGTACCCCTGGATAATTGTATGTAATTAGCTAATTATCCTCAACTGCCCTGCGCTTTGTATCTAACGACCCCCTGGGTACTGTAAAGTGTAAAACAACAAATGCACAATAATGAAAATTTACAACCTAAACAATCTGGTCAACTTGGAGTACACAATAAATAAAAATGGAATGAATATGACAGGAATTCCAGTGTAGCTCTTCCAATGACTACAGCATGCACTGGTGATCATAAATCATAAGTGCCTAGGTTTGCAAGGGGCGGCAAATGAGAGGTCAGCCCAGGTCACAAGAAAAACAGACAGGGCATGGAAGTGAGGGATTTTAAAGTCTTATTTTTGTGCTGCCTGTTTGCTGATGACCTACCCGCATGGCTGTGTCTTTGACCACAGTACACACAGATCAGGGAGGTAAATGTATGCAAATGTTAATTAAGAAATAAATTGCATATAAATGTGGGATACGTATTACAAATAAATTAAGGATATTTGCTGGTACGTAAACTTGGAGTTGGAGCAAGTGTGTATCCACCTACAGACTACAGTAATTGAATGCAACATTTGGCCTCTATTTACATGTACAGTACATGTACATATGTTTTACAAAAACAAAACAAACAAAAAGGCATTACTGAACAGAATCATTGTTAAAACAATAATACTGGTATATTTAGCCAAATATATGTAGTTCACAAGGCCGCATCTGGTAATGATCTAAAGCTGGACTCAGCTGGATGAAACAAGGGATACACCCCCACATTTTAAAACGATCATGTATGAAGGTACAATACCTGTACAATATTGGGGCATACAATACTGTACTAACAAATTGTATTGTTTAATGCAGTCCATTTATAACATGGATCTCAAGAGTTCAGGTTTTTTGCCTTTTGGGATTTAGTTGACAATGATTACGGTAAAAAGTTTGTATGGAAGGTAAATGGCATACATCATGTACATGTACAGCTATACTGACATATTTACTCACTCTGTCACAAACCCATGGGAGATATTATTCATACAATGTAAGTCCATTTCAGACTTGGAATGCACATGACCGTGTACGCCTACGTAGCCTCCCCCAACAAAGAGAAAGGCATCACAACTCCCCCAATGTGGGTGTGTGCAAATGGATTAGAAGCAACACATTCTTCAGATTCCTTGAATCAAAGTTCAGTGGTCAATATCAAAGTAGCTACATGTAGGCCCACATGTTCGCGAGAGATAAATAAAAACTGACTCGGCTATTACAATACCAGTCAACAAAAAGACCAGTCATCAACATGATACAAAGGAAGGATAGTAATAATATGCAAGTGGGGTTCCTCTTCTCCCACATGTACAGTATATTTAGGCATCAGTCAGAACTAGGAATTATACCGTACTGATCTCTCCCATTCATGCACTGTTTACTAAAAGTGTTTTCTTCAAGAAACTGTTCAAAAAATCTTTTTCCAGGTGTCTAATTTCCTTCTTTTTTTCTCCATCTTTCAGAATCAGAAATGTGATTGAAATACATGTATGACAAACAGTGTGTTACATTTGTTATGAATATGTTACATGTACAGTGTACACGTACATGAAGGTCATATAGACTTTCATAAGTGAAAGGCCTGTCACATGTACATGTAAGTTAAGTTGAGCCCAATTGTACATACATGTACATTGTAACACCCCATATTTCATGTACCGGTACATTGTAATTACCCTTTTAAGCGATAGAGGCACACTGTACACATACATGTATATGTACATGTACATGTAGGATGGGAGAAAGTAGGCTCTTCGTGTGTGCATTCACATTAACAAAAACTTATAAATATCTTCCTTCCGTTTTTATGACAGGTTTTATATGCAAAAATAAGGCGACAGGTGCACAGATCAATCTCTATTAGATACTGTCAATATGTGAAGAAGAAGAAGTCTATCTGGGGAGAGCCTTGCACGCACAGCCAGGTGATTCCTCTCCAAATAAAATTTCCTGATCAACAGGTTCTTGACACTCGATGACTTCCTCCTCGCTAACTGATCCCAATTTCCTTTATACTGTGGTGAAGGTTTCCGCATTCAGTCAGTCATAGAAGAGAATTTGATAATCCTCTTTATTTTACCCTTACCTGGACACGGGTGTATGAAGAACATTCAATTGTACCTGCTGGTGTCTGTCTATTCATTGTAAGTCAATCACCCTGTCATTTGATTTATAAACCCTCCCTCTAGTCTTTAAATTGTCCAAGAATTCTGCAAAGTTGCAGTTAACGTATAATCACGTAGGCCTACATGTACAGTGTATGTACAGTGTATGTGTACATGGGACTATAAACATTAAAATCAAATTTTGAAATGCTCTACTACTAGTACAGTATTTCAATAAAAAATATATGTAAACAAAACAAAATCATAAAACATGATAACCAATCACATCTTGCAGACACCACCCACATGTACACCCAAAATAGGGGTGCGTCTTATACACAGAGATTTATGGTATATTGGCGGCAAGAAGAAAATATAACATCGTCTGTTCAGACTTCAGAGCCATAAGGGCATGGACTTCTACACTTTGACACAGATTCAAAGCCCTTCTTGCTCTTACTCAAACTACAATATAATAATCCATCTGTTCAATACATTAGCTGTTGATGAGATGTACACGTGGGACTGTAGAGTTTACTTTGCTTCACCTGACGGTATCATGCTCCCAGCTGTAATAACTTACTGAGTTACTGACCAATTTCATATACTAGGCCTACATGTATAAGGCACTGTTTTTTTTTAAACATACATGTAAGTATATTCAGTAGGGAAGCCCTTAATCTTAATATAGATCAGGTAATGAAAGAAAAGATTCAAACTTTAAATGAAACTTAAATTAACATGTTTAAAACTTACCTTTTTTTTTTGTAAAAAAAAAGAAAGAATTCTGCCCATATTTTTGAGGATGATTTTATAGCAGAGTAATGATCACAGATAGACAAGAGAGCCAAGCCACTCTGCTATACAGTTATCCCAACTGCATATTGAGCAATAGCAAATGTGGTTTCAGTGAATAGGATTTTTTTAAATAAATGTTTCAGTTATTTCCATTCCATAAACTAATTGATTTGCTTCAAGATTTTCTGGAACTGGCTTACCAAGAAATGTTTTTGTCATTGCGGAAGTACTGTAGTAGTAACAAAAGAGACATTGACTTAAAGGGATCCGGTAACTTTGTCTCAGATTCTGAAACAAAATTCTGGATTTAGCTCATGATGCAATGATAATTATAAACCTTTAGGTCAGTCAGGAACCCCGTGACTTTTACAAGCCGATCGCCTGTCTGATTATCAAGATATTTATGATTGAAATTACAAATTTTGAAATTCGTTCGCCTGACGGTTTTCATAACATTACAGTCTATTGGGGAAAACAAGTATGGTAAAACCGGTCACTCAAAGATTTTTACTTTTTTGAGGCACTTCTTGATCATTTTGAAGCGCAATTTTTTTAGGGCTTCAATATTACACCATATCACAAACACTGATAACACGTAGGGCCGTGTATCTCAGATTTAACATTGTTAAACGATCCCTTTAACTTCTTTAATATGAGATATCACTTCAATTTGAGGTCAAGATAAAAAGTCTATTTACATTTGTAATAAAAAGAAAAGACAGAACTGAACCCTGTTTGTGTACATTCAATGATTCAAAGTCCAGTAATTCTACACAAAGTCACAAATGAAGTAAATAAATTATTACTCACACCACTGAGTAATATTAATGTACACAGGTTTACTTAGGAAGATCGCACAATAACAAAGACATTTTTGTGAGATGAACATGATTTCTTAAGGGGTAATTCATTTCACCAAATTCACCACAGACGGAACAATACACAATGCATTAAAAGTTTACAAGACAAGTCAAATCTACAACTGTGTACAACTGTACATGTACACAACAGTATCGATACTTGGTTATATACAATGTACACTGTAGGGGCAATGCATCACTTGGTTTAACCTGTACATGTATGTACAAGTACAACAAATTAGCCACAGAACAGTGTACAAAATTTAACTTGAAGTACTTGAAATCTGTTTTCAGCTTCATTTAGCTTAGCAGTACATGTCAATTTCCAAGGTACATGTATGTACTAGCAATGTGAAGAAAAAGGAGAAAACAAATTGATGTACATTTACACTGTAGTCTCCAGCATTGGATGATGGAAAGTTTCATGTAAGATGACAAATATATCTTTCATCTGGTATAAAAACTTCAAACACATAGAATGAATGTAAACTAGAGTAAATATTCTTTTGCCATTTGCAAATTACTGATCAGAGACATTAATCTAAAGACTTACCAGCCTTCAATGTTTTAAATCGAAGTGCTTCAGCGCCAAGGTGATTGATCAATGATTTTAAATCCCAAAGAGTATATCCTGCTAGTTTATAGTTATTCAGCTCTAAAAGTATATCATCCACATGAAGCTTTCCAGACTCCAGCACAATCCTGTCAGTGCGAAGATCATGGACATAGGGAAATTGTCCATTCTCAGCCCCTCCACCCACCGCAAAGTGTATTCCACCATCGGCAGCCCGTCGTACGGCGCACTCCTGAATGTTCTGGGTCCAGTGTTTGGGTGGTTTAGAGTTTTTCTTATCCTTCATTGTGGCAGTTATTGATGAAACAAGGGCCATCTAATAAGAGATAGATGACATCATCTCACATCCACAACTCCTTTCAATTCTGTTGGATGTTTGGTCTGTATCTACATGAAGTTACTCTGCTCTCTCTTGAGGGACCTGTTAGAGAAAGAGACAAGATAAAGATTACTTCACATGACCAGATGAAACTGATGATCACTTCCCTCCCCCAATAAAAAAGGCACTGGAGTCATTAATTAATATTTTACTGTTTGCATTCAATAATGGTTAAAAACAACCATTCTAATAATGAAACAAATAATCATACATGTATAACCTTTAGTCTCAAAAGTGCAACTGTTTACAAATTTTTACAACAAAGGAAAGTTTTTAGCACTACAGTATCACAAACAGGCGGTATAAATAGTCATTACAGTGCAATCATGAATCCCTTGCCAAGTTTTTATCTCCAGATATTTGACTTCTAATACAAGCATTTTATATTTGCTGAGAAAGATTTTATGAGCAATTAACTTTAAAAGAAAATGAGTGTTGTAAGATTTTTTTTAATTCTTCACTGTAATCAAGGATTAGAGTCAAACTTTTGTCAGTCATAGGAAGTAGGAAGAAGGAAACCCAAGTAAAAGAAGCACAACAAAAAATAAATTCTAAGAAAATTCTTAGAAAATCTGATGGTGGATAAAATGAAAAAAATGCTGAAGTTTACTAAAGTACAGGTCGATCAGAAATGAATTTTAAAATCTCTTGATTTCATTGTAAGCAACTCTTTCCCACACTCCATAGACAATATATTTGTGCATGTATCCTGAACAATACAGTCATTCTGATCTAGCTTAGTCAACATCCAAAATAAGGCATACCGGTACAAAGAGTTGCTTACTGACGGTGGCCTGTACTGCTACTGAAGAAGAAGAAGAAGATCTACTAGTACTATACATTTTAAGAACATTTTCTTTTCTTGGGGATTTTTATTCAAAATTTGGCCACATACATTTGTAATTCTGAACAAAATATCAACCATCACATCAACATTTCACATAGCTATACCCGATACATGGTCTGTTCTTACATCAATGTACCGGTCACAAACATATCCAGGTCAACAAATGCTTCAAAATTCAAAGAAAACAACAGCGACGTTTGAAATTTGAGTTTGAATGATTTTCAGAATTTCCACACTTCTTCTTGGTATATAATTTGAGGGAAGGGCATATTATTATGGCTGAAATGTTCTCCTTTTTGAGAATGAGATGAAAGAAGATAATGATACATCGCGTCTAATAATAATAGCTTAGTCACACCACCTAACAAAACGCTTCCACTGTACTGGCTAGATGTCAGCCCGACCTGTAGTGTAGGCTGTACGTCACCATCCACGATCCACCGGACATTCATTTGTTACGTTGTCATTAATGTCAATCTGTATCGGTGCGAGTGACCGCGCCTGGCATCAAGAAAATGTCAGATATTCCGAAGACAGAGCATGAAAAAAACAAGACTAGATCTATATATCTATCTTCGTTAATTCGATCTGAGTATTATACCAACGGCAAAGACTAAAGTAGAGTCTACTTAGTTGGACATGACTGGTTGTGGTACCCGGCCGAGTCGGCAGTATCCGCATCGCACAACCGACCAGGGCGTAAGGGCGCAGGTAGGCCGAGCAAGCAGGACATAAATCCGCACAGCGTTTCTATCTAAGAAAGGCAGGTTTCATTTCTCTTAGTGGAACTATGTTAACTTTGTCATTCCTCTGCTTTAATCTATGTAAATTCTACAATACATACCTTTCAAAATTATGTCAGTTATGATCAAAGTCTGTCCTCAAACAGCACATCAAGGAGTGTTTTTTCATGAGCTTACGTTCAAAATATGTCGTTTGTGTACAGTACAGGTGATTGCCACCTTACGCGCATGCGTAGATTGGCCGCGTCCACACACTGTGTACTGCTGTTTGTCAAATTGTCGCGATCGCCTCGCTCTAGCTCTATCGCCGCTCCGCTGATCCGCGTTCAACTTCGCCCTTCAACCGCGCCCCTATCGTCGTAAGCGCTTATAGTTAGTGCTTGCGGGGAAGAAACTTCATCGAAAAGAAAATAACGACTCAAGAAATCAAGGGCCAATTTTGTTTTCTCTCTCTCTCTCTCTTTCCCATACGTGGTTTCTTTATTATTATCATTATATATATATATCGTTGTTGTTAATAAATGATTTTCATTAATATCAAAATATCATTACTATCTGTCTTCTTTTCTTTTTTTTCTTTTTTTAATAAATAATTTATTATTATTATTATCATCATTATTAACATTATCAGTATCATTTTCAGTGTTATTAGTAGTAGTAGGCCCAGTTGTATTATTACCACCACCACCACCATCCTCATCATCATCATCATCATCATGGTAACCAGTGGCAACATCCTTGAATCCCTTTGAATAATTATCCCAACTTGTACAGCTGTTGTCCGGGTTCTCAAGGTGTAGCCTATATCATTTTTGTCCCGTCCCAGATGAATGCAGTTATACGCCTATAATGCAGACTGAGGAACAGACCCAACAAGAAATACAAATCGGGGCCGTCACCATGCAGGCCCGATTGCCGAATACAATTTGGGGCAGAAGGGGGGGGGGGGGGGGGGGAGGTATACATTTTTTTAAAAATTAAAAAAGGAATTTGCATGAAAACTGACATCTACTGGCGCGACGCCCTGTAATCAAATAATCATAATTTTTGTGAGGGAGAACATCCGACCTAGCAACAATGAAAAACACATTTTGCAATTAGTAGATTTTTAATTTAAGAGCACCCTTTGATCCCTTAAGCAAATTCCAATAAGCAAAACCTCCATCCCGAATTTTTTTCAACAAGTCACTTGAAATATTCACAAATCCATTTCTTAGAATTATATTATTTGCAGTCAGATTCTTATGAGGCGGTTGTCGGGGCTAGGGGGCCGAAGTCCCACCCCCTTCCTCTGAGAAATTCCAAATATTCTCTCCGCATAAAATTAAACACTTCAATTTTCGCCAGCAAGCTGTCCTGAATATGTTCAGAAATTTGCATTTATAAAACTCAGTGAGAAATTTTGCTCGTTCACTTCGCTCGCTCACAAACATCTAATTCATACGAGAATTCCATTAAAGAAAGTGCAGAGAGAGAGAGAGGGAGGGAGAGGGAGAGTGAGAGGGAGAGAGAGAGAGAGAGAGAGAGAGAAAGAGAAAGAGAGAGAGAGAGAGAGAGAGAGAGAGAGAGAGTCATGTCATTTTGAAAGAAAATGCCCCAATCATGATTTTACGAAAATAATGAAGAGTTTTAGCGTTCTTATTTAAAACTAAATGCTGAGTTGTAACTGTAATATCTTACCTGATCATTTTGTAGTTTAAACACGACCTTTATTCTTTGGGGGAAGCGGATAGGTTTATGTTCTTTCCCATTACCCCCCCCCCCCCCTCCTCTTCTCTCTCACTCTCTCTCTCTCTCCCTCTCTCTCTCTCTCTCTCTCTCTCTTTCTCTCTATCTCTCTCTCATCTCTACTTCCACGATGTGAATTAAAGTGAGGGGGTGGGGTCCTAGTTTTTTGCTACCGGGAAGTATACGGGAAAGCACCATTTCATCTAAGGCGGGAAATATATAATTAATCCAAATTGGGCCATAATTATGAATGCAAAAGTTGGGGTGCCTCCCGTAAACTCGTAGCTGAGACATTAAGTCTTACACTAGTATTCAATGAGCTGAGTCTACCGAGGAAGCTCTTGGGAAGCAGTCATGGGGGCGTGGTGACAAAAAAAAAGTGAAGGGGGCAGGGAGGGGATTACGGCTGTAAAATAGCTGAATACATAAAAGGCTCCATTACATATTTTTTAAAGTGGACCTTTTCTGATTTTTGTTTCCGTCTGCAAATTCAAATGTCACATTTCTTGAATTATTTGATATTATCAACAGTACTCTGAGTCAACTTACTATAGGGAGCGAGCGACAGGCATTATGTAAATATAATAATACCCATCGTATATATAGCTGTAAATTCGATTATTGGGTGAAATCAGTGAATGGTCCAATTATTTACAGAGTAGTCAAGCCTATGTCATGACCATAAATTACGCCAACAAAACACGATTGAAAGAAATTATGCGGAATAATAATAGTCATCAAGTTGCCGAAAAAGATATCGCTGGTTGGCAAACGTATCGTCATGTCTCTCAACTAGCTATAGCGCCATCTCTTGATTACTAGAACCCTTCGAGATGGTTGTGTACCACCAATGTCAAACACATTGATGGCATAATGACCAAGACTCTGATTGTTGCGATTTATTATATATCAGTCCTTTCTCATTTCGTCGCAAAATAGCTCATATAATACTTGCTGAAAATTTACGAAGAGGCAAGGTCACGTTGATTGTTTGTTATTGAAAGTATTTTTTTTATTTTTTTATTGAGGGGGGGGGGGGGGGGGGTTCTTTTCAATCAAGCTCTGTTAGAGTATTTCTTCCATATAGGGCCCTTTACAGATGCAAGCTATAATAGAAAAACACATTCAGATTCTCACATTCTCATCGTCAGATGTGGACGCAGGTTTCTCCAAAACATTAATGAACCTATTTTCATACCGTAATCACATCATTACTGCAATATTCATTTCAGTAGTAATATATTAACGATCGCTAGTGTTTTCTATTCTATATTATAATGGATCCATTTGTTTTTTTCTTTGATTTACTGTTGTTACATGGATATAAAAGTCTCTATATAATTTTGTATTTATTATGTAAATGATGAATGTAAAAAAAAATAATAATTAGATCAATCAAACTCATCAAATGAGTTTGAGGAAAATCCAAAAAAGGACACTAAACATAAGGTGCAAACTTTGTGATTGCACTTGCACTATAATATTAAATAATTATGTCAAGTTCAGTTATAGGTGGTTTTGTCTTCTTCTTCTTTTTTTTGGGGGGGGGGGGGAGGGGGTTGTTTTGTTTTGCTTTTTTTTTTTTTTTTAATTATCATTTGGTTTGGTTTGATTTATTTTGTTATTTTTGTTATATTTTATTTGCCTGTTTTGTTTTTAGAAGCATCATGGGTATTTTCAGAAGCGTATAAAACAGAGAGAGCTCTGGGAATCCGTACCCATGTTCATCCCTTCCAGCAATCGCATATCAAACTCCTACTGATTAGTCATGGAGAGAGCATGCAGCATAAGCTCATCGGAGTACCAAGATGGTGATAAGTATTAACGCCCGCTATACAGACACCGCATCCTATTATCGTCTTTATACAATAATCAATGATGGATACGGGGGCGTGGCATCTCCGCGGTCAGTACAAACAAAAGAACAAACGAAACAAAGAAACAGACAGCTGTAAAACAGATAGAAACAGAACAACTACCATCAAGTTCCATGTTGAATGTTTCATGTGAAATAAGGTTCAAAGAGATTATTTGCCCCCCCCCCCCCCCCACAAAAAGGGTCTCTAAAAACACGATTATTATTAGTTTATTACAGCGTTGTTGGTGCGGATAACTCACCCGTTAATTTTTTTTTCTTCTTTCGAATAACAGTTTACTACAGTTTCTTACAGTAGCACCTGTTAAATTAATACACTTAATATCAACCATTTTTAGATGAGAGCATCTCATTACAAACATTAATTGTTGCTATTATGTCATGCAATTTTAGGGCAATATTTCGGACCATCGAGTCGATTAAAATAACCTCCGCCGGAAAAAGTTGGCATTTTTAGGCTTAGTTGCTTAAAGATACTTCTTGACCTTATGTAGTTCTCATCACTTAATTTTCACTAATAACGATTTTAAAATATATATATATATATATACAATGTCAGGCTTATCTTAGGTATAGTGACTAACTTTAAACGTTAAATAAAATTAATGATACCATTCTGAAGAACCTTTAAATTGATAAACTTGGCAATTTCACCCCTCCCTCCCCCCTCATTTAAAAAAAAAAAGTTTCAACATGATTTGTGTCTACACAAAACCTGTAATATTTCATAGAACTTGGATTCGTAACTAATTTCAAGACATTGGTATGATGATGATCACTTGATTCTCAAACCATATATCTATGATTTTCTTTGAAGGTGTCGATGGGAGGCACCCTCTAACAGTGATTAACGGTAAATTCTCCCAACCATTTTTGAATTTTCCCAACCATTTTTCCATGAGAAAAATACATAAAACAGGTTATAAAAATCTGTCAACATATAACTGTCTGGAATGGAATGTCGAGCCATTTTATTGCTTTGTGACGATTTACATTCACCTAATATGTAATTAAATTGTCCTTGTCTTGATGGTGAACAGGCTTTGACAAGTAGCAGAATAGAAGTAGAATAATATAGTTGGGAGAATTAAGGAATCGATCAGATCAGTTTTTTCCAATTTGTAGCATGAAATTGAATAATGATCTGTTTTCACTCAAATTTTCAGATTATCTTTAATTGTACACACTCTTATTTCCACGGCGTCAAATTTCACTCTAAATGGCGTCAGCTGGGAGTCAACTCTATTCCTACATTGAAGTCACTACCTTAGCACCACTATCTCTCATCTGAACAATGTTACAAAGTCCCTTTAAAGAACAGTTTTCCCGGGGCCGACTTTACTTTAATGTAGTTCAGATTGCTGTTTCTCAATATGCCCTCTGAAACCAAGGTGGCGGATGGGTTAACATTTTTGGTATTATTTTGCAAGATGATGGTGTGAAACTGATCACGAATTGTGATCTGAGAATTACCTTTGTAACCTCAATCAGGCATTCTCTGTGAGAAGATTAATTGCACCTGCTTTGATCTTGATCTAGACCTTGACCGATCTGAGATTTTGTTTCCTTCTCTCTCTCTCTCTCTCTCTCTCTCTATCTCTCTCTATCTCTCTCCCTCTATCTCTCTCTCTCTCCCACCCTCACTCCTTCTAGACGAACATTTATACCTTCACTAATTTCAAGAAGCTAACTGAAATCAATGATGTATCCCTTCTTTATCTTATCACGGGACGCTCTTTGTACTTTCCCTTAGAGGGTTCATTCACGAATAAACAATAAATTTTATAGATTTAAAAAACACAGTAACAACAGACAAACAAACAAACAAACAAACTATATAAGAAAAAAAAGGGATCCCCGAACCCTCTCAACCATGGATAATTTCGAAGATTTGGGTCTTGGATAATAATTATTATCTCGCGGGAAATCGTTCCCCGATAATTTTCCTTCATTTCATAATTCTTTTTTTTTTGGGGGGGGGGGGGGTGGGGGTGAAAAGGGCCGTCGGAATGGCAGAAATGCTGGGGAAAACGATTGTGGGAAATTGTCAGCGCCAAAATCTTTATTTTTTTTAAAATTAATGGAGTTAATGATGAAGATGCTGCTTGTATTTATGAGGATAATGGTAATAATGGGGGGTGGAGGTGGTGGTGGTGATAGGGCATGGTCACGGTGGTGCTGATGGTGTTGGTGATGGTGGTGGTGGCGTGGTGGTGGTGGTGGTGGTGGTGGCGGTGTTGACGGTGGTGATGATGGTGGTGGTGGTGGTGGTGGTGGTGGGGGTGGTGGCGGTGTTGAAGGTGGTGATGATGGCGGTGGTGATGGTGACGCTTGTGTATCTGCATGGATGCAAAATGCCTGGGACTTGATGATAACTATGAAATACCATATTGACTCAGTTTGTTCCTTTGATTTTTGAACGATCAAAATCCAATTAATGTTACAAACATGTCTGATAGTCATACCGGCACAGTGCAACGCTCATGGAAAGACCTGATGAGAAAGTAATTTCCCTTCCGCCCCCTCCCCCCTGAATTGCACTTGTCTAATGGACGGCTTACGCACTGAACGGACATGAACAAATTGTGCTGACCATTTACGTGTTGTTGATGCGAGCATCTGGTATCTTCATGCATGCAAATCGGCGCCGCCGCTGAACGAGATGTGAAAATGCTTGCGATCTTCACAGCATCATCATCTGAATGCAAGCAACATAACAGCAAGAGGAGCAGTCGATGCTGCTATTTTCAGTGTGCGAGCAATTCATTCAGATAAGCAAGCCTTTTGTCATCTGCAGTACATCAACACTATCAAAGGTTAAACGAGTATGGTGGTAGGGTCACTCAAGTGGAAATTACAGGTATTATAGAGGGTGAATTTCGGAGATAATAACAATGTATACGCGTCGCTCTCCGCTACCAGATCAAGGAGAGTCGAGTTCTGGTAGCTCAACTTCCGCTGCATCATCTAGCTCATCTGACCCAAGATCTCCATCCAAGCCGTCAAAAAACAGACAACCGCGACCTGAACTGTCGACCCCACTTCCCATGGAAACGATCCAATCGTTCAATGCAGCATACAATGCCGGGCCAGTTTATATCAGCGAAGGTTTAGGCAGCCCTGTTCATGGTAGAGGTTCTCCGAATTCTAGCTCCAGCGGCAAGTCAAACTCCCCCACACATAGCCGGTCTAGCAGCCTCGGCTCTACCCACGGCATGAGCAACAACTCCCCTCAGGCACAGGCGGCTATGCAAGCCGCAGTCATGGCGGGCCAACATCATGAAGATATTCGTCATGGACATGGTGGTGGAAACAGAGACATAGTACACATGGATATACACACTCAAATAAGGGAATATCAGAGAGATAATGACAGCCTTCGCCAGGAGCTTGACAACAGGGACACTAAACTGAATTCCAGCATGAATAGTATCAAGACATTTTGGAGCCCAGAGTTGAAAAAAGAACGAGCTTTGAGGAAGGAAGAAGCAGCCAAAATACAGTCACTCAAAGAGCAATGTCGAGTAGCTGTCGAAGAAAATCAGGTAAGTTATAAAGCTGAAAGATTGAAACGAAGATTAGTATTCTAAATTTCAAAGTAAAAATAAAATTACCGCTTTTATTTTATTATAATCTTTTAATTGGTTGTTGGTTAATCTCTATGAGGAAACTTCATTGATATTTCATGGTCAATTATCTATGACTACTAACGCGTATTTTGGTTGTATGATTTCTTGTGAGTTGATTTTAATTTGATAAGTCATAAAACTGATATAAAGATAGAATAGTGAGATGATTATGTAGTACACTGTAGATTAATTCAGAGAATCTTGAAAAGATATGTTTTGATGAATAATACTAAAAAGTCTCTTCGTGTACATGTACATGTTGTATAGTGCATGTCTTTTTACTCGATGGCGTTCCTGGCCTGGTGCTTCAATATTGTTACATTGGTTATAGCCATAAGCCATGCCAAAAGACGTTATTACCGGGTCGGTACACGAACCCACAACCTCACGAGTCAAGTGAATAAAATACCACCACAATACCTCCATGGCAATAACTGTACTCTAGTTGACTTAAAATACTCATACCGTTACATGTACATGTATGACAATGCCATTTGTAATTGGGCCGAATCTACCTGTATGATCACGATTTAATACAGATATTCTATCTTTAGATTCTAATCTTGATCAATGTGTTTGGATAGTTGATGTAGAATATTATTACTCGAAGTGGGGGGAAAAAGATGCGTGAAATACAATGTACATGTAAGTCATGTAGTACAGTTTGTCCGTCTTTACCGGGTGTCATTCTCTTTCATGTTTCCCCTCTCATTAAAAAAATTTATGGCGCAAAAATCAATCAACATATTCAACGCATACTATAGTATTATATTGCATACATATTACATGTACATGTAGGCTCCATCATTATCAAGTGATAGATTTTAAAAGATATATTTAAAAATAAATATGAATATAAAAAGCAGAGAAAAAGTAGATGGAGTAGAGGAAGAATGTAAGTGGGAGTGAAATTTGTTGAGCTACAGCTGGAAGTGAGCAAAGAGAAACCAGCTATTTCACAAAAGCTGGCACATACTGTACCAGTACGGAGACTCTTATTTTGGAGAACGATAATTTACTTTCCATTAAGTATATGTAACCATGGTTACAAACACACCAAACTCAATTTTAAGTGTTGATTATGACACCATTTCAAGTGAGTGGGATTTACAAGTAAATGTCATGCCAAACTAAACTTACTGTTCTAGTTACTGGCATTCCCTTCCCAAACACATGACATATCCTTAGTTTATAATATGGAACTGGACCCCAACTGTTTTATTATTGTAAAGTGCACTTGGTATATGACCTGAGAAGTGGAAGGTCATCCATCCCTTTGAATACCGCACATTTACAGACCCTGTTGTCATGGTGCTATAACATTCCTGTAGTGATTCAAAAGTCAAGAATCTCCCTGTTTTGTTGGTATCCAGTCTGTTTGAAGGTTTTATTTTATGTGGAGACCTTCATAATACAAGGACATACAGTACATGTACATGTACATCTGTACTTTTAGCATCGACTTAGCAAATGTTATTAATACATCATGATCATACAGTACACACAAACAAATGTCATGTGTCCAGGTGAGATCACATTGCGATCACATTGCTACAGGATGTTCAAGAACTGCATCATTTCCTGGAGAAGAAAAGAAAGTGTCCGATCATGTATTTGTTTGATTTACCGGTAAAGTATTCAAGATTGATTCCTATTTGAAAATTTGCCAAAGGATTTACCAGGTGAAACTTGGAAGGGCTGAATAAAAGAAGAAGTCATAAAATAGTGCAAATTCTAGGTTCATGTACACCAACACGTACATTGGGATGTAGACTCCTACATTTTGACTGCACGTTGGAAGGGGAGGGGCGGGCATTATTATCAACGCAGGCTGTCTTCTAGGAAGTCAGATGGGGGAAAATTGCTAAAAATGCAAAAATTCTATTTTTTGTTATGCGATTTCACATGCATTGTGTACGCAAGGAAAACAAACAATACACTAGTACATTTAAGTAGAGTAATATTGCATGTAGTCTATTATCATGTACATGTACATGTATGGACTATGGACAATAATCAATAGTCGGATGCGGCTTTGTTTTTTTTGTTTTTTTGTTTTGGGGGGGGGGGGGGGAGGAGGGTAGTATTTGCATTACCCGAGTCAAAATAATACACTCCCATAACCAGTGAATTGAGGTGAGTAGATCAGTGCTCCTGGCAACATTTACCAATGCAGGCAGGTTTTCAAATGCAAATATGAATTTCAAAGCTAATGCATACATGTACATGTACGTAGGCCTGCAATTACAAGAATAGTAAGATGACCTAAGCATAATTATGTGATAAATGTAACGTCTATTATCAAGTGACAGAAATATTGGTCAGTCTTGTAACCTTGACTCTCTCCATGGGTTGGGCTAAAACTGCAAGTGCAGTACCCTGGACTGGAGTCCTGGACCATGGAATGTATTGCTCATGTCCCACTTGAGATGATCTCTTGATAGGAAAACTGTTGGATACCTGATACGCCTGAACAGCTGAATATCTCTTCTCTCCGTATAATTATATGGGTGTAGTCGGTTCCTCAGTGTTAATCTTAAGCTATATAAGCTACCAACAATACAATCATTGAACTAGGGCTAGTAACAGAGTTGTATCATTTTATAAACATCTAAAGCTCCTAAATTTATACACATACATGTACAATGTACATGAAGGCTGCCCATATCACTGTTGATCATCAAGCTCCTGCTTGGTTTACATAGATTTGCAAATTAATATTCAAGATTGTAAAGATTGATGGACATATTTCGAATCCTCTCAGTGAGTCCCAAACATATATTTTTTTTGGATATCCTTGATCTTGGCAGATAAATAACAGAACTTCAGAAATTCATTAATTTTTGAAAGGCTGTTTGTTTTTGTTCACTCAATGGAGCTACAGTATATGGAGCCTCACATATATATTTCCAAAAGAAATTAGGGTATGAGATAAAAGCATGATTAAAATTTACAAAAATCTCTAATCGCTTTCAGTACAAACATGTACATGTAGAAATAATAATATTGATAAATAATCCAATATAAAACGTTATTGTGCACTGATCTGCTGTTACACTTTTTGATACACCACCACCAAACATCAAATAACAAAAGACAAGATGATGACATTAGAAATGTTTGTGGCTTTTGTAATGGACATGCATTCATGCATTTAGTAAATTAGTGGTTTATAAGCAGAGACATGCTTGGTATAGCAAACTACAGGTGTATTTGAGAGTACAGGTGTTCTTTTGATCTTGTTACTCATCGTTGATTTTGTGTGATTAGCTAACTCAATAAAATGGTCTACAACGCAATGCATTCAATCAATTGATGATGTTAATAAGCAATTAAGATAAATATAATAAGATACTGTACATGTACATGTAGATATTGGAAGTGACTAATGTGTATTTTGTCAAAAGTAAATCTTGTTTACATTACAGTTGTACATTGTACTGTCGATTACAATAGACTTGTCCCTTAGCAATGGCTTGACACTAGCAGGCACCCGGGACACATGGGGGGCGGGGGCCCAAAATCTAGGTCTGGAGTCTGGACCCCAATATGTTGACATTTTTACATAGGGTTCATACATGACTTTTAAAAGTTCAATCTGGACCCCCTTAAAAAAGAGTCAGTGTAGAGCCCTAGCCTTTGAATTTAATTTGCCAAATAGACAAACAAAGGAATCACATGTCATGAGAGCATTGATTCTTTCTGTTTCTTTTCTCATTATATATCGGATATTTCAATATTCATGATTGTACTTAATTTTTTTCTTCATTTCGTCGCTGTTTTCACGAAGTGACGGTAGTGAAACAAAATTGCATTCACTTTGCGTTACGATTTTCCTCACTACCGTCACTTCGTGAAAACAAGGACGATTTAGGGGAGTTTACATGTATTTAATTTGCTATGTGTATAATGCTTTATGTCAGCAGAGATCTTTGGATATCCCTTGAGTTTCATTTTGAACCGTTCTATGTTTTTTTGTTTTTTTTTAATGATTGAAAGGAATTATTAAGGTATTTTATAGCTGTTGTGATTTTAGAAACTTACATGTAGGTACTACATGTACATGTATTCACACTATTCTGGAAACCAACAATTGTTTGCATACTGCATAGCACTTATATTTTTGGGAAAATTATGAATTGTACCCAGTACATGTAAATGTACATTATGTATATACATGTATACTTCAATGAACACCTACTGTATGTACATAATCATATAAGACTTTATCTATAATAGAATCTTGCAATATATATATTGGTGACAAAATGTATACATGTAGGAAGGAATGATTGGAAATTAGACTGTAATTCTTTACATGGTACATGGATGTTGAATGAAAATGAGCAATTTTTTTATTTTGTGTTGATTTACAAAGCTAAGCATTGTCTGTGTACACACAGACCAAACAAGCCTATGATCTTGATCAAACAGGCTTCATGTCTGAAGTGCAATAGAGAATAAGAAAGACAAAAAATACTAGCTTTTTATAATACATGTACATGTAGGATACAGGCTGTGTACGTTATGATTTTGGTATAGACCTACATTTGTATGCTGTATGGCTGGGAGTTGAATTAGTTGATAGATGTAATACGTACATGTGCATGTATAATTATAATGATAATTAGGCATTTCTATAGCGCCGCCAATCTAGAAATTCTATTCCGAGGTGCATTTATTATTACCCCGGCTGTAGGCAGAGCATTATAAATACATTCATGTATTCATGTACATGTACGTGTGCCTACACTTCCAATTTCTTGAAAAACTATATTTATATGTATTTTATACATTCCTTTTCTACATGTACATCTATTAATATATTGAGAATGAAAATGAAAGCCACCTGCTTACATGTATGAGTTCTACGGTTCAACATTTGCATGGATATACAGCTTGTGGTTTACATCTAT